GTACCTACTGTGCAGCCTTCCTGAGTAACCAAGTCCTTAAGCCTCAGCTAGCACCCCAACCTAGTGGGATGGACTATAATATGCAGGAAAGCCCTGTCCAACCTGGGTTAGGATAGAAGACATAAAAATAGGTAGAGACATAAAGGAAGTATAAGAGTTTTTCTTCAGGAGTTCCACATGCTTTTCCAGGCCTGTCACTCCCTAAGCCAGCCCCCAAATTCCTGGGAAATCTGTAAATCTACCTCTGAACCACTAATTAATTCCTTAATAAACAGATAAAGAGATAGGATATTTGAAGAAACCTATAATTTAAGAGACTTTCAGTGCTACCTACAGATGAGAGAATGAAGAGCGTATCAGACGAAGGATCCAGAGATTGACTAGACCACTGGAAACCATCCTGAGTTCACCAGACTATTATTCCTGCATGCCTTTCTGTACCCACCCCTCACCAAGTTTCCTTTAAAAGAAGAGCTGAGAACCCTGAAAACTCCTCTCATTCTCGAGATGACCTGCATACTCCCTTGAATGTATATCTGCTTTTGTAAATAAGCTTCTGACTGGTGTGTGTGCTGAAATTCTCCTCCTTTGCGGAGGCCAAGAACGCCCCAGTCCTGAGGTGAGTTCCCCTTCTCTCCAGGAACGCCTCAGACCTTTCCTTGAAGACATCTCCTCCCCTATGACTAAACCAAAGGATCATGATTCTGTTTCAGGAGCTAGGTCGCTGTGAATGCCACCTCTCAGGCACATTTTGCCCTGCTTGGATAACCTGGTTCCTTATCTTGGCCTCTCTCATTCCCTCTGGTCCCTTGATGTCACCTCTGGTTTTTTTTTTATAATTGGTGCTTTTTTATTTATTTTTTGAGAGAGAGAGAGAGAGAATTTTTTTTAATATTTATTTCTCAGTTTTTCGGCAGACACATCTTTGTTTGTATGTGGTGCTGAGGATCGAACCCAGGCGAGCACGCTATCGCTTGAGCCACATCCCCAGCCCTCATCTGGTATTTTGTGGAGACTCAGCCTTTGGTGTTGGAGGCCCTGTCTCTGGCAGGGATCATAATTATGCAGGGCACTGTAGGAAGGAGTTTGGAACTTGTTATAAGGGTGTATTTAGAAGAATATTCCACAGACAGTGAAAGAAAATTCTACAGTATGGAGCAGTGTTGATGGGGGTGGACGGTGGCGAGCGATTGGTGTTATGTGACATTACCTCTGACAGGGGACCCAACTCATCTGCTCCTGGTAGCCTGGCCACCTCATCCTTCTGTGAGACACCAAACCAGCACAATGGCAAAGGACAGCCAAGTGTGAGCAGATCATTAATCGGTTTTATATGAAGCCACGTGTGCAGAGTTCTGTGGATAACAGACTGCAGTATGTGGGGTCAACCAGCCAACAGGGATATTTGCATTCATTCTTCCTCCTAAGACTTAGAAAATATTTGTAGCCCTCCTTTGTTTGAAGTGTGGATGCCTGTGAGCTCCTTACAGTCTGGGTCTGACTTCAGTACCTTCCTCATGTCTTTCTGCCTCGTCCTATATTTGCACTGTGTTCTTGATGGGTATTTCCCAGGGCAGTGACAGGCAGCTGAGAGAAGGGGCTCCAGCAATTCCCTTGTAGATCTGTTAACCTCTCAGAATTGAGAACAGTCTCTTGATCATCTTTGAACTCTGCTTCCAACCTGAGGCCGGGGCTCAGCAACTGTCTGGTTATAGAATGAATGGCAATTCTAGTTGGATCTCTGGTCCCTCCTCCTGTTCCCTGTGGCCCAACATCCGCAGGAATCAGCCTGGTTGCTGCCCCTGCAGTTCCACCATGAGAACCCCTCCGCAGACACATCCAACGTGACTGCTGGGTCAGGTGGACCTGTGCTGGGGAAGTCAGCACGGAGTGACTGAAGGGAAGCCTCTTTTCTTCCTTATCCTGTCTATAAGTGCTTAATAGTACAAATAATTCAGGGATGTGTGTTCACTCCAGCTCAGGGCAACAGGAAACCTATTTCTGAGGGCAACTGATCTTTGTGGTCACTGGGGTGTGCTGCTCCGCACCTGGGCCCCTTTACCTCTCACTGGTGGTGTATACCTGCCCCTGGTGTCCAGAGGGCCCTCTACAGTGATGATTATCCTCATTTTAGCAGCTTAGGGTATGATCCATAACAAAGAAGAAAAGCACAAAGCTGATGTAGAGCATGCTACTATTGAGAGTCTGTGTTTTTTAGTATTATTGTCTTTTAAAAGAAATTTTTTTGGGGGGGGGTACCAGGGCTTGAAAGCAGGGACACTTAACCACTGAGCCACATATCCAGCCTCTTTTTATATTTTATTTAGAGACGTGGTCTTGCTGAGTTGCTGAGGGCCTTGCTAAACTGCTGAGGCTGGCTTTGAACTCACAATCTTCTTCCTTCAGCCTCCTGAGTCCCTGGGATTACAGGCTTGTTCCATTGCACCCAGCAATTATCTCTTAAATGTAGAGTCATGTGTAGTGTTTATATTTTCCCATTTAAAAATAGTATTTGATGCCTATGTTGGAGATACGATGGTAAGGAAGATCAAACATCCTTCTCTGATAGTGCCACGAAGAAAACAGGACAGTGGAACAGGAGCAGAGGAAGATGGAAGCCGTGCTCTAGGTAGAGAGGGGCTTGGTGAGAAGGTGACATTTGAACTGAGAGCTGCATGATCATTTGTGTGGAAATTAGTCTAGATAGAGGAAACAGCAAAGGAAAAGGAACCCTTGGGACAGACCAGAATTGGGCATGTTCCCAGGACAAAGAGAAGGCCAGAAGTGTGAATAGAACATACGGAATACCAGGAGGAGGTCATGTAGTTCTCACCTTGACTGTACTGCAGAATTATCTAAGGAACTTAAAAAAAAAAAATTCCAGTGTCCAAGCCCCACCTGCAGAGGTTTGTGACTTAATTGATCTGGGGTGGGACCTGAACATTGGCCTTTTATAAAAGTTTCCTAGGGAATGCAGCTTGGATAGGCCACGAGTCTTGATCTTGCAGAGTGTTACAGGCTCTGGTAAGAACTTGGACTTGAGTTGAATGACAGTGTGAAGTTATTGGACAATTTCAACTAGGAAATGAACATAATCTGATTTGTGTCTTTAAGAGGCTCACTTTGGCTATCGTGTGGGCAGTGGAGGTCAGGGGTTATTACGGTGGCCCCCTGGAGAAACCATGGTGACTTGAAGCAGGGTGGATTCAGTGGAGATGGTAGGAGGAGGTCAGTATTTGGATTGGAGGCTGTGGTCAAAAAAAATGGATTGGATTTAGAATGTAATGCAAAAAGATCTCAGAATTGACCCGATAACCTGGTGGGTGGTACTGCCATTCACAGAGATGGGAGAGGTCAGGGAGGAACAAGTTTGAGAAGTTGCCATGCCTTGTTTGGAGTGAAAACTTCAAGCTGGTGTTCTGTCTAGAGTTAACTTATAACCAAATGAGGTTGGCTAAACTATCCTGAGAAATCCTGTTCCTTTCGTGCTGAGAGTTTTCTTGAAGTCTTCCAAAGGTAAGCACCAAAAGCCAGTTGACCACTTTAGTGCATAGGACCTGTGACGAGCAGGGAAAGCTTCTTTCATACCAGTATCAGGTGGGATGTAGGGGAAGGATATATTTTGAGAGATTGCATGTAGTCAACACCTGTTTTGCTATAATAATTGAGTAGTGTGGTCATTTATAGAATCAGAAATAACAGGTTAAAACATTTATGTTTGACTTAAAGGGAATTCTCCCCCCCCCAGCAAAGTTATTTTCCAAGTTAACTAGCTTATGTTATAAATTTTCCTTCCCTGAGCAGGCCCTGGATATCTGGCAGTAAAAATAATTGAGATTGGTAAATCAAGATTAGATTATTGGAAACTGGATTGGGTGATGCACACCTGTAATCCCAGCTACTTGGGAGACTGAGGCAGGAGAACTGCAAATTTGAGGCCAGCCTGGGCAACTTAGCAAATTGCAAATCCCTATCTTAAAATAAAAATTAAAAAGGGATGCAACTCAGTGGTAGAGTGCACCCTTGTGCCATAAAATCTCCAGGGTCACTAAATCAAAAATTAAATAATTAGAACTCTAATTCCAAACTCCAGACTGTAGACCTCAGAAATGAAATATTCATATTTTCCTAATTATGCTGATGGAGCCCTGGTGCAGTGAGAACAACATGGAATTTTGTAAGAAGTTTGTCATTTTTTTTCCCCTGGTGAAAGTACATGCATTAAGTTGTAAAGATGAAGTCTACGGATTGGTATATGGAGTGGGGGAGCCCAGATTTGAAGTTCACTGGGGGCAAGAACTTTCTCTCAACTTTTTTTTTTTTAAGTACTGGGAATTAAACCCACAAGCATTTTACCACTGAACTACATTCCCAGTTTTGTTTTGTTCTGTTTTTTTAATTTTGAGATAGGTCCTCACCAAAGCTGAGAGTCTTATTAAGTTGCCCACACTGATCTCCAACTGGATATCCTCCTGCCTCAGCCTCCCAAGTTGCTGGGATTATAGGCACATGCCAGTATCTGTGCACCTGACTCAGTATCTGTTTTTCAAAAATGCCTACTACATTGCTCATTCTGAGGCTTTGAACTGTTTGTTTAGTAAAGTTGGGAAATGTTTGTAGCTGAAACTCTGGAGTCAGCGCTGGCTGAACAGGAATGTTGACCAGAAGGCTTTTGAAATGCCAACAGCCCCTTTGGGAGGCACTTCTGTGTTCTTAGTAAAGAAACTCTGGATGTGGCTGCCTTTGAGTGAAAGGCAGGAGAATTTAGGATGGTGTAGCTGTTTAGAAAATGGGTAGGACCTGAGACTCCTTTCTAAAGAGCTTCAAGTTTGCTCTAAGCCTCCGAGGCAGCCCTGAGGGGAGGCTGGTCCTGTTGCACACTTGTAATCCCAGCTATTTGGGATTACAGGTGTGAAATGTTGAGCTCCTTTGCTGTCCCACAGAGCGCCTGTGTTGCCAGTCTGCCTGCTCCATACCATGTCTGTCCTTGTTACCCACAGATAACTGCAGTGACCTAAACTCAGAACTGCAGAGGGTGCTGACGGGGCTGGAGAGCGTTGTCTGCGGCAGGAAGAAGAGCAGCTGCAGCCTCTCGGTGGCTGAGGTGGACAGGCACATCGAGCAGCTTACCACCGCCAGCGAGCACTGCGACTTGGCTATTAAGGTGGGCCTCCCTCAACCCACTGCCGGGCGGTCTCAGATTATGTGAGGGGAGTGGTCAGAACCCACTCTGGAGGCATGTTTGTCTCAAATACCTGTTAGGGATGTTTCAGTGACAGCCATGCTAGAGATTGGGCCACCAGGTAGAAGCAGGGGCCCCACAAATCTTTGCTTGGCTGAATGACTTTGGAAAAAAAGCCATTATATTGACAGTCAAGATCTCTGGCTTTTCTATAAAAGAGATGGTGTGCTTAGAAATGATTAGATTACTAGTGCCCAGCCACATCATTTTAGCACGGTTCATGACAGAGTACTTGTAAGTGTACCAGGGAAGTTTTATTGGAGCTTTAAGGCCTCAAGAACACGATTTCATGAGTTAACAATCTGTGTCGCTGACAAAGGGGAAGATTCAGCACCTGACTGAGTCATCCCATCCCCTGCACAGTACAGCTGGGTCTCAGCCACACCTCTGACATGTTTTCATCTTCCTGCTGAAGAAGGAGCAGGTGAGGGGAATCTGCTGCATCTGCACAAACTCATCCTGAACAATGGGAAAGACAAGTCCAGCTGATCCCGGGCCTCAAGTGTCTTTACGTTACTTCACTATAGCTTAGTGACCTAGGCCTAGCAGTTCAGATTTAGAAGTCTGGGAGGATCTTATGCAAAGGAACAATCTAGGCCCAAGTTTCTGTCAACAGGAACCCTGGATTTTCCCCCAAAGAACTGTGCTGTCTCAAGGTACAGCATGGTGTCTGTTTATAACACAGCTGGCTTTCTCTCTCTTTCATCTCAGTTGGAAATATATAGGTGAGGTGGGGTTGGGGATGAGGAGAAGCTATCACTGGTGTTTCTTGCTCTGGAGTCTCCCAGGCTCCACATTAGATGGCAATGTCATCTTGGGTACTAGCTCCAGCCTCCACATTGAGAGGAAAAGAGGAGGCCAGGGACTTCTACCAACTAGCCAGGGACATAGCAGGGCCCGGAGCATAGCCAACTAGGATAAGAGTCTTGGATTTGAAAGGAGAAACAAAGCAGATCATGAGGAAAGTGGCAGCAGGATTTGGGTACCTGTGTTCCTCAGGGAACCAGTGTGAGCCTCTGAGGGTGGCTCCTAGGCGTTTTAGTATTTGAAACCTGTTTCTCATCATGTCTCTTCTTGGCCTTTTGCAACTGCCCAGTAATTCTCCCTTCTGTTTAGAAATCAACTGGCCTCTGCTTCTTTCACAAAGGACAATATATGTGAATGAATAGTTTCTGAGAGCAAGCAGAATAAATTCTTTTTTTTTCTTTCTAATTTTATGTATCTTTCTTCTGCACTAATGCTGTTGTAAATGAATTTTTAATAACCCTTCAAATACGATAAGAGATTCTCTCGTTTTTCTTTCTTTTTTATTTTTTAATAGTTTTTAGTTCTTAGCTACCTTATTAATTAAATCCCCGCTGTCTGAGAAACCTCCACAATGAGCTTCCTCTTTTCTGTGTCACTGAGGTTTATTTTTGACTTTCACATCTTGGGACTGAACCTCATTTGCACCATCTGAATTCTTACGTGGCACTGAAAGTGGGGAAGGTTGAGGTGACCTGTTTTATTGCTGAGCTGGCACACAGGAAGCCTGTAATTTAGGAAACTTCCAATTAGATTTTGCATGCAGTTTGCCACCTCACGTTTGTCACCGCATCCCCCGGATCAGTAATTGTCCTGCTTCCTGGTTGCACATTTGCCAACTCTGGAACTCAAGTGAAGGAGATCAATGGTGGCATGTTGGTGGTGGTTAGCACCAGGCTGACTTAAACACCAGAAAGGGACAGTGTTTTCCTAACTGGGGATGGCGGAGTAACCCAGACCATGACCCAGGCAAGGAGACAGCCTCCTCTGAAACTGGGGAGAGGACCATGGGGGATGCGTGTCTGATCACCATCCCTGTGTTCAATGAAGTGGCTTTAAGCCTCCTTCTTTGGGTTCAGTGGCTCATGTGCAGCCTGTGTTCTTCCCATCCCGTTTCTCCAAGATAGCGAACATGACTTTTCTTTGTGGCCATGTTTTGCAGACAGTTGAAGAGATCGAAGGGGTGCTTGGCCGGGACCTGTACCCCAACCTGGCTGAAGAGCGGATCCGGTGGGAGAAGGAGCTGGCTGGGCTGAGGGAAGAGAACGAGAGCCTAACTGCTATGCTGTGCAGCAAAGAGGAGGAACTCAACCGGACCAAGGCCACCATGAACGCCATCCGGGAAGAGCGCGACCGGCTCCGGAGGAGGGTGAGCACCACAGCCGGCTCAGTGTGGCCTGTCCCAGCCATGGGGCTGAGAGGAGTGGGCATATACAGCCAAGGGCAGCCCCAAAATTTCATGGATTCTTAGTCTTTGGAATCACCAGCCTTTCCTGGTTATGAAGTCATTCTAGAAAGTAGTTTTAAGATGCTAAGATATAGAGATAAGATTTTTTTAAAACTCCTTTTTCTGGAATCCTAAATCTAAGTAGATGATAAAATTAGAGCAGTTTTCCTCAAACTACTCTCCTGGGTATGCACAACTTCTCCAAGCTCTATTAAAAGGTGCTTCTTTTAAGATAGTCTAGGAGGTGGGGCTGTGGCTCAGTGGTGCAGTGTTTGTCTGGCACAGGTAAGGCTCTGGGTTCAATCCTCAGCACCACATAAAAATAAATAAATAAAATAAAGATATTGTGTCCATTTACAACTAAAAAAATTTTTAAAAAGATAGTCTAATAATATTTTTATAATTTGAAAAAATATAGAATTTTCCCCTTTCAATTTTTTTCTACAAAATTTTCTTTAACTTCTTAGTATCTGTTGTCACTTATGGCTATATCTAATGTGAAATGTCCCGTCTTCTAGCATAAACTTATTAAAGTTAAAATAACCATATAGTTATGTGGGTGTATGTATCTGTACATGTGTGTCTGTATGTGTATTTGTGTATGCATATCTGTGGGTGTGTATGCACATGAGAGTATGTGTGTGTATTTGTGGGAGAGGGAGAGAGAAATTGATTAATTGATTTCTGTATTCACCTAAGGGCCTGCCTGCTCTAGTTTGAGAACTACTTTGCTGAAGACATATATCCCTTGCTGAAGGTACTGATGTTTCAGCATAGAAATGTTTTAGCATAGAATTGTTAAAGCATTCAGTTTTCTAAAGATGCCATTTTTACCCCGCAGGGACCCATAAGTACGTCTTTGCTTGGCTGTGAATTTTATCTGTGATTGGACTAGGGGTGAAGCAATGGATTCTTCAGTCAGAAACAATTCCCTCCAAATTTCACTTTGAATTACTAGACCTACTTTACTCTCTTTCTCAATCTAAGCAATATTAGGCTGTTACTTTTGAGTCATGCTCTGAATGGTAATTTTGCACATGAAGTAGAATGATAGGGGGAAAATAAATCTAGTTGGTTTCGTCAACCTTCACCATTACTGTTTCTCTCTAACCTTTGGAGACACCTTGGAAGTAACTTGTTCTTCAATAAGGTCAGGCATGTAAATGGTTCTGTTCTTAATCCACATGCAGATATTCTTGATGTTTGAATATAGAAGAGATAACTATTGTTGAATATTACCAACACCATTCCTCTCCTCATTTATGCCTAATGTCATGATTAAAGAGCCAGCACTCCTACCTCTTATATCTGAACATCATTTATCTTAACTCTTGTGCATTAAGTGTATTTTCAGTACCCAGCTTTACCAAATGCCATTCTCCAAACTTGTATCAGCAGGTGTGAATCATCCTAGTCAGCAAAGGCTTTATCTGGGGAACTCGATGAAATTTACTTAGCACTAAGGCCTACACCACCTGTAATTTCCTGGGTTACCCCCTCTGATCTTTATGACTAATATCCTAATTAGGTATGTGCTTGCTTTTAGTGTGTGTATTCTGTTGGTGCATGTTTTGTGAAGGAAATGTTGGTCTTAGATATAATTACATATTGTGGTTTACAATAAATTTCCTTCTCTAACTTGGGTTACTAAGATGCAGAATAGCTTTTGATTGTAGCAAAAAAACAAACAAAAAAGGGCGCCAATATCCACCCCTCCAATGTTTTCTTCAACTTTGGAGGTCAGCATTAAGAACAGAACAGTGGGGAGGAATTTACATTGTGTACCAGAGCTCTGGAGCCACACTGCATAGGGTCATAGCCTGACCTGCAAAGTCCCTATGAGTCTAGCAAATTGCCTAACTTCCCTGGGCTTCAGTTTATTTTGCCATGAAGTGGGAATAGTAATAATACCCAATGCAGGAAAATTATCTAATACTGATAAAATAGTTACATGGTGTCTGGCATATAGTAAATACTCAAAAAATTAGAATTAGTGGTAGTTGTTTGGACTAGAATCCACATTTATATGTTGAATGGTGTGGAAAGTTTAGTTTCATGCCATCTTTTTGTTTATTTATTTTTAATAAGAATCATTAGATGTTTGAAAAATTCTAACATGAACATTGAATATATTGTAAGTATATAGATGTGCACATGCACACATGTTTCTTCACAAAATGTTTCTTCTGATTGTATTTACTTAAGTTTGTGCCATTAATGTGGTTTTATATAAATTTACATAATTTGTAGTTCATTTACCTCCCAGTAATAAAACTTTAAGGAACTTGTGTCTTCAACTAGTAATGTCTTGTGGGATATGTATACTTACCCATGAATTAGATTTATTTCTAGGCAGTTGAGGTTCTCAAAAGAATTTTCTAGATGCCTTTCAATGCTGGTTTACTAGACTTTAAGTCCTGGAAGACTTCACCCACCCAGTATATTTCATTTCCCTGAGGGATCTACATTTTGTGATTAGCATTATCTTTTGTTTGTCATGATGTGTAGGTTTGCAGAGTAACTGAGCTACAATTCCATTTTCATCTCTGTGATTTTACATAGTTCATGGCTAGTTTGCCTTTGTGCTTTGTAGCAGCTCTGAGTCCATAGTTCATCAAAGTGACCTGAAAATAATTGGGGCTTAGCTTTTTTTTTTTTTTTTTTACTTTGCCCACATTCATTTCATAGAATTTTAACTGACCAGATCGATAGGATTGATGCTCCCCACCCCCCCAACTATAATTAAACAAAGTGCTCTCTGTAGGTCTTCTGAGCCTTGTTCAAGATTTAATTAAATCAGATCTTTAATGTAGTCAGTTAACAAATTGGACTATTTGACAGAGCAGTAACTAAGAAACAACAGGCAGACAATTTTTATTATTGGTCCCAGTTCATTATTAAATGAAATGATAATTTATTTCTGAATGTTCTGTAATATAACCACTTATTTCCCCACACTTAAGGAAACAGGCTTAATCCAGGCAAGGTGGAGTTAATTACTCTAGAAAGGAAGCACTTTGTTTTTCTTTCATTCATTTATGTACTTCATAAACATGGCTGGTCATGTCTGTGTCAGGCAGAGGTCTTAGAGTGATGGTCAGAGCACCATGACTGGTTTAAGGGACGCTGGGGAGACAGCCAAGTCAAGAGGTCATAATGGTGTATGCCGAGTGGTAGGGACGGTGAACACAGAGAGTGCCCTGGGAACTCATAGGAGGGACGTCAGTAACAGGGCCCAGCTTCTCCCTACTGCATCCATTTTTTTACCTAAATTGTTTAGGCTAACTTCTATATAGCCCAGATTATCCAATGCTTTCCCTCATCTGTTTGGCAAAGCAAACTTGATATGACCATAGGCTTGTGAACCCATGTCTCATGGAATCATGGACTTGGACATAAATAGGCCACACAAGTCCCTTCTGAGACTTTGTAGATACTCTTCAGAAAGTTCTCCATGTTCATAGTATAAGGTAGTGGTAACAGTTCCTTCCTTGTTCCCTGCTCTCTTCCTGGGACTTCTCAGCATGTCTGAGGATGAATTCCATCTGCCTCTCTATGGGGTCTGGTTTCTGCTCTGACTCTGGTTAACATTACAGTGAATTCAAGAGACTACACACACACTTTTTTAAAACCAAATAAAAGTTAACCTAGTCTGAAATTTCCTCCTCCTAACTTTCCCCATCTCCCCTCAAAATCTTGTAAAAATAGTTCATGTTTGTTATATTAACTTGGCTCCCCAAAGATTTTAGTTGGGAATGGGAGGCTCCTCTTCCCACTGGTGATAAGGAACCAGTCATTCTTGATATCTAAATGCAAGATTGTATTTATGAAAGATTGCACTGATAGACCTATGTAATAAAAATGGAAGCACCTGGTTCACACAGTTTCTTAAAGTATAAGCAAGGACTCCAGACTCTGCATATTTAAATATTTGCCATTTGGCTTCACAGCCAGAAAAGGGACAGGCAAAATTCCGTAGAGCTTCAGAGCCCCTTTCCTTCCCTGTCACCTCATCTCCTTTAATAGAAAGTAGCATCAAATTCCTGGCAATGGAACCTCTTTTGGGAACAGGAAGCTGGGAAAGGAGATGACAGGAAAGGTGTAAGTATGAAGGGAGGAATTTCCTTGTCTCTCTCTCCGCACTTTTTTTTTCCCATAAGCTTTTCAAAGTACTGATCCTGTCATTAGACTCCTATGGGTCACTTTTATGTCTGTGATTATGTCAGGAGAGATGATGGGCTGCACTATCTGCCCATAGTCCTCCTCGTGCAGCAGAGGTCCTTGTGCTGAGGGGTGCTCATCGATGCTCTGCTCAGCCAGGTGTGCGGCACATGGTCAAGCACTTGTCCCAGGAACTCAGCAGCTAAGGCTGTGTACAGGGCATCCTCCTATGGTGTTCCTCCAGAGATCCCGATCACTGGAGCCAATGGCTGAAACTTAACTAGATCTAAACACCAACTCTAATCCACCTTCAGTATCTCCAAGGACACATGTTGATTAGAGTCTATATCAGAGGAGATGAAAAAGAGAATCTGAACTAAAGCAAAGGGGCTACTTAATGTGATTATCTAGGACTCTATTATGTGCTTTTTCTATGACATCTACATCCACCCTCACTGGGAGTCTTACAGTGCCAAATCGATGTGCCCAGAGTGGATTCTGTCTATACTGGAAGCAGCCTTTTGCTCTGTCCACATTGTTTCCTGTTATATGCTAACTCAGTATGTCTGAGATATTTTTAACTAAAAATCAGTCACAGTGAAGATATTTCCAGCAGTGAACTGTTGTGACCTTAGGTAGGTTAAATACAGACTCATCTGCTTTACCTTGGAAACTCTTCCAGCCTCCTGAAAACGCTTCCCATTTCACTTCCCTCCCTCATACTCTTCCCACCACCATTGTATATGAAGAAAGACAGAATC